TGCCCGTTCCCTCGTTTTAAAAAGAAAACCGACGGTGCCGTCGAACAACAGGCAATGAACAACAAGTGCAAAAGCATACCTCAAAGAAACCCTTCGACATATGAATACGGTGTCATGTCTACGTCCTCCTTTTGACATCGACGCCCTTCATCAGCGGAGCCAACACGTGAACCTGTTTGGCGACGGATCGTACGTACACTTGACAAGTGCCGAGGGCGGCGCTGCGATCAACCAATGATACATTGACGGACGGAATGACCAGGTAGCCGGAACGAATGGGCATCATCCGGAACGTCGCCTGTCCGAGGCCGTTCTCCTTCAGACGAACAGTCAGTTTCGGCGGGTTTTCGAGACAGGTCCAGTGGTCCTCGTCCGCCACAAGTTCAACGCGTAGCTCGGCTGAGCGTAGCAATAGTTCCTCGGTTTTTAATGAGACAACGAAATCGCAAGGGCTGTTCACTCGGCAAACAATCGACTGTGACGTCACTTGACAACACGCTTCGATCGTCGCCTAAACATTGATGTCGCATCAACAATCTCTTTTCGACAGATATTTAAGCAAGAAGAGGAAAGAACATGCCGAAGTGCTGTGTTATGGGGCCGGTACACCTTTTGTTCCGACTACCACACTTGCAAGATAAGTACCGCGATAGATCGCTTGCTCGAGAAGGAAAATAAAATGTAAACGTCGAAGTTGATGTTTCCCATGATAGTAAATTAATACCCAATATTTCAATCAGATTATCAAGTTCAAGTTCAGGACTATTACGCTAAACAGTTACGCTACAGGAGCAACTGCTTTTAAACGTATTATCTCGCTTCGCATATACAACTGTGCATGTACAATACTGATAAAAAAAACATAATTTGATAAATAATTTCTTCCACTGTCCGTAGGTATATAGGTATAACTTTCATTATGGAGATTCTCTCTATGACTGACTTAAAACATTCAGATCCATTAAGTAATGAAGTAGACTAGGAATAACTGACCTACGACACCTGTCTGAAGATCAGCACTTACAACAGAATATCTGAAGTAAGAAGGGGGAAGCCAAGTAAATCTGAGTTGCGGCAATAGGCTAAGGAGCTGAGGCGCACAGGAAGAGTGATAACGGTGAACTTTGTTGCCGTACTCATTAAACCAAGCTCAGTGTTGTCGTCGTGGGAAACAGATAATGAACAACGTCGGTCGGCCAAGCGGCAAATATAGTTGACAAGACTGTCATGCGTTTGGAAGGAGTTGTATTTAACTTAAACTATAAATTCATATGTAACGGCCGACAGTCACCGGCTAGGAAAAACATGAATCATTGACGAATGCTGGGGAAAAACCACTTCCCATCGTGCGTTCGCTCTCTTGACGGACGACAACGATTGCAGGACAAGGAGGGACAAAGAACTGGAAAGTACTTGACGAACGAAGCCTGGGAACAACATCGCACCACTTGGATGGTCAAAACCGACTGATGTTCTGCGGAAGGGCGATACTGCTGGCAGAATAAAATTTTTCAAATATCTACTAAAAACAAAATATAAATCTAGGAAAATGAGTTTGCCAGTAAAGGCTAATATTCAATACACCGGCAACAATAACGATCTCTCATTTCTCCGAATTTGCACGGTATATGGTTCTGTTCGAGTCAACAAAGTGATACTGCTTTGCGCCAGTGCACCGCAGGTGCAACAATACCATGGAGCTATAGCCTTCTTAAATGGTCCCTTAGGCTACTAGAAGGACGATGCTTTGCTGAGTAAATCCGGAGGATTGGCAGGGGAATGTTACTTACCGGCGGTATTGAAAGCTAGCAGTTTGCTAGCAAACATAAGAGGGTTTTTTTGTTGAAAACTCCAATATTCACATGATTATAATACTTGCAGTATGATGAGTGTCATTCCATCTAACCCCTGCAAAGAAGGGCAAGATTTAGTTTCTTCACCTTAAAAATGGACTCTTGTACTCACTCTATCGCTTTGACTACAGAAACAGATACTTTACATCTGTAGTATGTTTCAAAAGAACGGTATTTAAGGCAGACACTTGACAAAGAAGTACCTCGGTACAAACTTAAAATGTCACCTAGACGTACACTGAGGTTAATTCAATCATACATACCTAAGGTATATGAGCCAATCAAAAATTACACAGAGACTGAGATTTATGGCGAATTACAGTTACAGTACTGGTGCAACACTGGAAATGCTTCAGTCTAAAAAGCACACTGTCATCAATTCAGAAGAGACTGAAACGCTGTTTACGGAATCGAGTGAAACGACAGGCCATGAGATATACACTGCAAAGACCAATCAGAAATTAAAGCTGGTTATGCAGTCTCTTTATACTATGATTCATACATATAACATGGAATAACCTTTCATCGTAATAACTGAAAGCTGGGGCGCCAACACAAACTTTACACGGACTTCCGGACTAATGCAGTGAGCGATCCAGATCAGTCACTCATGATTCATATTGTTTACTACATATTGCTGTCTTCTTGTCTGCATAAGATATCTCGCTAGCGCCTTTATTAAGTTGTTCACGATTCTACTAGTGAAGTGTAACAAAAAGAGTTGGCACTAAAAACTTCTACCGACTACGTGTATGTTCGGTGCATTCAGCAGTGGATCACAAACTACAGAACTGTTCTTCTTAGTCTCATCAGCTGCTCTCCCGTCGCACCATCTGATGCACTGCTGTAAAACTGTCAGGAGCGAAAAAGTAAAAGGAAAACAGACATCATCAATCTGGGTTACACCGCTATTAAGCTTTACTAGCCATAAATGATGATGATGCAAAACAACAAACAACAACTGAAAAAATTATAACTACAGTAAATTTATGACAACATCGTAAACTTCTAACTGCTACACTTACATGAACATCGGTGACCACTTTTGACTCGTAACTGTACACTTCGTTACCAGTCGACAGCCAGTAGTTGAAGGTTAGGACGTAAGTGGTTCCAGAGCAGCCGAACGTCTTCCACAGCAGTACCTGCGGACAGTTGTGTTGTAAAGGCTGAACGATCATGAATACAAACCAGAAACAAAATGCAGCAAACTCTACACAACGACCGCACCTTCAGGACCTTGTTGAGCAACATGGGAGACGTCTCTGCAGACTCGGGCAAAACAGCCTTCAGGCTGACCGTGTCTATGTTAATTTCGTAGCAACAAACGTTCGTGATCGTTACCATCAGCAGACGGTACTGGCAACCGATGATCGCTCGCTTTGCCACCCACGAAAACGCCGGTTTCACAGGAACGACGAACTTCGACGCAACGTCATCGAAAGTGATGCGAATCTGAAATCAACACGACATGAACAACAGGCTACGAGAAATCCTTTCTCACATACCTCAGTCTCACCGAAAGAAATTCTTGCAAAACGCCTCCCACACACAGACCTTTACAGTAAAAATGAATGCATTTTCAGCTGTTTTAATTTAAATTTACAATTTAAACATATTTCTGACTTACTAAGCTATCAGATGAGTCAATGCACTAAGTTGAACACATCAGACTGCCCGGCCGTACCTAGAGTATATCGGCATCAAAACCTCAAGCTGTCTTCATTGTTAAGAGGTCAGCGACAAGGGCAAAAGAATAATTACGACCATATCCACTGACTTTTCACCTGCGTTTGATAAACGATTCCAAGGGGAAAGTTACTCTCTATCTTTTCCGTTATCGGGATTGACCGCTATGATCTACGTATCATTATGGCGCACCTGCATAAGTGTAAAAAATCTGTGTTTTAATGTCAATGATACGCAACCGTTGTCTAACAATCTCGGTATTCCGCAAGGTTCATCCGCCATCCAACTACTTTCCCCATCTATGCCAACAACTTCAGATTTGAACTACGACGAATGCGCTTCAACTATGCGTACGAGAGCATCGTCATTGCGATTGTTAGAAACAGCGAGGTTCTCGAAGAATACAGGAGTGACATGAAGACACTGCTGAACTGGTTCAACTCACTCATGCGAGTTTCAATCCTTAACCCGAGCAACTGAGTTGAGTGTGTCATTAATTACTCCTGTAAATAAGCGGCACCACGACCTCGTCCATTTTGTCAGAGAATAAACCAATTTAATCTAGACGTCAGTCACCCGGGTGAAACGCACGAAATACTTTGATCTGATCACATGGTTATCGCCATCAATAATGCGAAGAAATGTATCTTGTACATTCGCTGCGTACGTTTTCTTGAAGCCCCTGAACAATACCAATTATCACTTATTCTTGTCCACTGTATTTTTGGAGCCTTAACAGGAGGTGATTTTCAACTCCTACGGCAGTGCATTAAAGCAGTGGCGAAATCTGGAGGATTGTAATGCAGTCTCGTGGCTAGAACCATTGTGCAGACTATTTGTCGCAGTCCCATCTCTTTCGCGGACGGATACTGCAACAAATCACCCACCTATATCACACAGATTTAACTGCTTCCCCCCAACTCTCAGGATGCCGTTACACGTGGAAATTCCATCATTTAGAAAACAATAACTGAGCTGTACGCAAAATTAATACTGCCTCACTTAATTCGCAACCTAATAAATCCTCCTGTTTCAAAGTGCCGTGTCTTGCATTCTATAGGTATTACGTAATATCCGTCTTGCTGTTATACACTGTATATATGCGGGTACTAAAAGCAGACAAGCATTTTCCTGCGTAGCATTAATAAATACTGACATATTCGAAACTTGCTGCCTGTTTCTCGGTTGGCCAATTTCCATGCTTAAGAGACTTAGCAGTAGTGCAATGGTGGATCAGTACTCTGCGTTGCACT